AGCACAGGGCTCAGAAATGTCACCAGAGCTCCATCCCTGCCTCGCTGTCCTTCGTGAATTAACTTCTTTCTTGGTGAACACAGTCCTATCTACACCTGCACACTGGCCACCAAACACTGCCTCCCCCATGCCCAAGTCCCTTAGCATTGCCTGTCCCTCCTCTATTGTCCTTCAGGCTCTGATGCCTGTGGGATCTCTGATGATGGCCAAGTGTCTCTAATGGCTCCTATGAGCCAGACTATTATGAGTGGTTTCCTTTTGTATAGCCTTTATCTCCCAGAGGACTGTGTGATGATATTACTCAATTTCTCTGCTTCCGTAGCACTTAGATGGACACCATCAATCCCACAATCGGCGGCCTCATGAGAAGACTAGGCAGTTAAAAGAATTAAATTGATTGTTAAAAGAATTCTCCCAATTTAAGCAGTTCAGGTACTATGTATTTCCCGATTACCAGTCTCTCACTAGGCCACTGTTAAGTTCCCCAGATGCATTTGAATCATGGACTTTCTCTTTCTCTGTACCAAAGACAGGCTTGAAGAGTGTCATCCATCACTCCCAACTCACTTTCTTCCTCTTCACTATCCAGCTTCCCTCATGGATTCCACAGTTTTGGATTGCAAAAGGAGCTCAACAAAACTCATCTAATTTATCTTCTTTTCTCCTTTCAGCTCCATAGCCATAAGAAGCAGCAAGCCAACACCTCCATCTCCTTGCCTTTTATTGAATTCACCCATCAAATCAGAACCCAACTGGAGGGGGCAAGGCTGGAGGCATAACCTCTTCCCACTGCAATTCTTTCTTCCTCCATACAAATGCATACAGCAAGAGCTACATAATCCCACAGGAGCTGGCTTGCGCTTATGCTTCTGAGTGATGCCCTCAGAGACTGCAATGTTTGCTTTAAACCTTCAGCTCTTCTTGGGGCATCTGCATACTCACATGTAGGATCCATTAATACAGCAGGCAGGCACTTTATACCAGACAAGACTGCCACTCTAGGACACCTTCCCACCTTCCTCTTTCTGATGGTTCAGACTTAATTATAGATCTTACTCCCCATAGCAAGAGCAATGCAACTGTCACTTCATCACACACATAGAGAGAGGGCCATACTGAGATTCCCTGCCTCCACCTACCAGAGATGCTCCACCCTCAGCCTTGGTTCAGAGCAGAAACAGCACCATTGCCCTTCTACCCGGTTCTTGGGGGTCTCTTGCCAGTAGTCATGGTTGTTCTGATGAAGGTGACAGCTGTCATGCCTATACGACAGCATCTGATGCATTCACCCAGACATTCTTGCCCTCTGCTCACTAAATCACATCTTCTGTTTCCTCTCCACAAGCCCAAAATAATCTAAAAGCTGCAGACCTGTCCTTTAGACTCTGGTATGACAAGTAGTCCATGCTGTAAATAACCAGGGTTTGCTGTATCAATATTCTTATCACAAAGCCAACAGCCACAATTTCTGTCTGAGAGCTGTCAAGTAAGTCTCAGGGTAGGTGGTTCAGAAACAAAATCAAATTGCACTTAGTCCTTAAATGTCCCAGAATTCTGTCCTATTAACACACTGAGATCCTATCTGTCTCAGGTTTGAGTTTCCTTATAAGTAATTTTCACTGGTCTAGGCTCTCTCTTCTATGTCAAAGCCCTCCTCTCTGATCCCCACCCCAGTTTTTTACTTTTTTAAAATCTAAATCATCGCCATTGAAAAGCTTAGAACACCTGCCATGGTGACATACATTCATAATTCCAGCACCCAGGAAGTAAAGGCAGGACAAACAGCAGTTCGAAGACAACCTGTCTCAAAACTAAATAAATAGGAAATGAAAAAAACAAAAGCTGTTATTCGCTAGATTGAAATTTCAAAAAAAAATTTACACATGGTTAAATTTCTTATGATATTTCTACCTATGATTTTAAAAGATACCAAGCATATTTTGATAATTAGCCTGAATAAAAAAACAGGGAAAAGCATCCCATTCTAACTGTGAAGCAGAGGTACGTATGCAGCACCATTATCCCAGCACTCAGGAGGCAGAGACAGGAGGCTTGCTCCAAATTTGAAGTCATCCTGGGCTACATGGTAAGGCTCTATCTATACACTCACACTTCTCCCCCTCACCCCTCTCTCTCAAAAAAAAAAAAAAAAGACAATGAAAATTGTTTCTAGAGGCTCAAGACTGAAGTAGATGAGTGTTGACAGCCACCCAAGTCAGTGGTGAATACAGCAATGAGTGAACTTAGAGGAGAAATGAGAAAGTCTCAGTCTGTGAAAATATTTTTAGATGTCTAAACTGGAGACAATGTGAGGAGAATACACACTGGAGACCTGGTGAGCAAGTAGCGGAGGGATATTCACAATGATCCATGACAACGGTACCTGTAGCAGACACAGCTAATGCAGGTGGATGAAATGAGCACGAAGTAGTATCTCTGAGGACAGAAGGTGGAGGGAAAGGCATCTTTGTTGAACACAGACCCTCACTCACACGAAAGAACCCTCTGTAAACTTCACTATGACATTCAAGTGCAGTTTTTAAAAGCAAATAACAGAATGAAGTTAAATTCAATCCAACTCTACTTAAGGAAAGTACTCATTGCCTACGAAAAGTCTTGCACTAAATGCTGTGTGTCTAAGGAGGGATAGGAGGAAGCAGGCGTGGAGAGAGAGTGACAGGCAGTGGGTGCTCTAGGAGAAAGGCAAAAACTGCCCGAGCTCAGTTATAGCACCAGCAGAATCCAGTGACTCGTGGTCTCCTAGGTGTGTCTCCTTCCTGAGGTCCAACCACACTGAGGATGGGACAAATGTACCATATTCCATTTATCCAAGTGTGCAACATCCCATTTACCCTTTGATGATCACTGGGCTGCTTTCACACACACACACACACACACACACACACACACACACACACACTAAACCTGTAGTAAAACTACAGGTTTACTCCTCTAAACCTGTGCTCACTGCAGAGTCTTTGTGCAAACTGTCTCATTTCTTTTGATAACCACGAGTAGGGTCTTTGGAAAATCTGTGTTTAACCTTTTAAAAAAATATCTCTCTACTTTCCAAAGGGCTGCATCCTTTTCCATTCCCACCAGCAATGGCAGCATTTTCCTTTCCTCATAACCTCTCAAATGCATTTATTTTTATCACAGCCAGATGACTGGCTATGAGCTAGTACCCCACTGTGCTCTTAATTTACATTTTCCTAATGACTCAAAGTGCCCTGCTAGCCCACCTGTCTGCTAGAGTTCACCTCCTTAGGGACCTGACTTCCCTCTGATTCAGCCCTGTTAGTAGCTAAATACATCAGATTCCCCCACCTTACAAACAAACCCCACACCGCTCCCCTGACTATAGGAGGCGCTGAGTACAATTTCCATTTTGCCACATTTACCACTCTGCCTCTTCCAGCAGAGCTGATAGAGAGGACAGCTGCTTTTCCTACAGAAATGACGACACCCGAGACCCCTGCACTCCAGCCCTGTGTCTTTATTTTCAGCCTTGGCTCATGCTTGGGCTGCTTGCCACGTGACCTAGTTTTGGATTCAGCCCCCACCTTCCTTCAGACTCCCTACTTCAGATGATGGAAGTTGCCCTTGAGGTTCCTGTGCGAATGCTACAAGGGAATCGTTTTCCACGAACAGCAGCATCCCAGTCAGAAAGTAAAGGCTAAGCTGTCTCGGTGCCCTCAGCTCAGCTGAATAATTAATCTTCATCAAATACCTAACCGTGAAAGATGAAAGGCCCTATTCAACAAGGCTGGAAAACATTTCCAACAGCAAATGAAAACAAAATGTTCCCTCCAGAGATAGAGTCATTCCTTCTCCAACCCCATCCATCAATGTTCTGAGACCAAGATGGAGAATTCAGCCACAAGCTTCCATCCAACGTGTGTCAAGGCAGGCACTGCCTTTGCTACTTACAGACACTTTCCTTTGATTTTCCTTTTTGCTTTGCAGTGGTGGGATTGACTCTAGCTAGGCAAGCACCCTGTCATACCCCAGCCCCAGATGCAAACATGTTTGATGAATCTTTCTCCTCACAAATCTGCTCCTTCAACCTCATCACAATCTCATGTTCAAAACTAATAAAGTGTTAAAAGATAGGTGTGGTGGGTACAAATTTAAATAGTCACCAAGATTCTGGCCCCCTCTTAAATGCTTCCTATAGAGCAGGACAGACAGGTGACTATAAGAGGGGTTCACCACATGACTATTAAATCAATGAATTCTACCCTCATCTACAAAGAAACCCCGGGCTGGGGATAGAACTCAGCAGGACAGCATTCACCTGACATGCACAAGGCCTCTCTTCAATATCTACAAGGGGGGTAGGGATCTGTATTGAAGGGCATGCCTGTACTCAGAACATTTGAGGCAGAGGGACAAAAGTACAAATTTGAGACTAGGCTAGGCTACACAGCAAGTCTTGTCTCAAAACACTACTAAGGGCCCAAGGGGGTATGTGTTGAGTGGGTCACCCTATCACAGAGGAATCTGAAAGAAATGAAAGCCTCTGAGGCTAGTTCTAGCTGGCCCCTAACATCATAAACTGCCCTGTGAGAGGTGGCAGATACAAACTAAGCAGCCTGTGAGATCTGGGAGTGGTCTCCACCAGTAGTGAGCAAAAGCACAGGGGGCCTGAGTGCTACAGCCCAAGGAAAGTTAATTGGCCGTTGACCCCTGATGAGGAAGACAGTGTGAGTGGGGGTGGGACTTGACCTGGGTGTGGGGAGAATTCCTCATAGGTGTGCACAGGACTCTGGGTGGGTATGGAGAAGGTTCCAGGTGTATGTGGAGAGGACTCTCAGTGTATAAGTGAAGGTGGATATGGAGAGGCCTCCGGGTATGTGTGGAAGACTCTGGATAGGTGTAGCAAGAGCACCAGGTGTCTAAACCGAAGTTGGTACTACTTCCCAGCCCTGGAAAAACTAAGACGATAGTGTCCTACACCTCTGGCATTCCTAATCTCATGTATGGTTCATCAGTAGTACCTCGATCCTCCAGCGGGTTCCCGGAGAGGTTGATCGTGTGAAGTCCTGAGTTAGGATTATGTGCTAGAGCACTGGCCAATTTTTGTGCAAAATCTCTGCAAGGAAACAAAATGGCGTGAGTAATAGTCAAGGGGCAAACTATCAAAATATTTAAGGACTAAAATGGAATGAAACCTAAAAGAAAGAAACTCTCCCTTACACTTTTCCATATAGAGTACAGCTCAGGGATAGAACACTTGCCTACATGGGAAAGCTCTAGGCTCAATTGCCACTCTGTGGGTGGGATGCGGGGACAACACACACATATATAATATTCAATTCATTTTGACTTGACAAAAGCTCACACACAAAAAAACAGAGAAAATACATCATTTCCCTTGGCTTACCTATGAAAAAATCCCCCACAGGCTCATTTTGTCTCCATGCACCAGTCCTACTTAGGAAGGTTGTGGAATGCTTCAGAGGTGGACCCTCACTGGAGTAAGTGGGTCACTAGGAAGGGGCCACACTTGCTGTGGGCTGTCTGCCACCTCACACTCCTGCCACTACACCGTGTTCCCTGGTATGAAGAACTGTATTCTTAACTACTGTGCCAAAAGACCGCTTCAGCCCTCCCTGCCCCAGCATCTCCCCACCCCTGTCCACTAGCAGACTCTCATCAGATGGTGGGTAACACATCCAGTTGTAGATACACCGCTGAATATGGCTAACAGTATCACTGACCCCTTCCTGTTTTTTTAAAACTTCCACAGCAATCTTGAGAACAGTAGTAGGCTCTTCGTTATATCTCACTTCTCATTTCCTCCAGCACTCACAAATGTAAAACTGATTGCTTTCATTACTGAGTCAAAGGCCATCACTGCTGGCCCCCTATTTTACACAAAAAGAAAAACCACAGTTTTAGTTATATTTTAACCTGAGATGGCACATTAAGTGCTAGGATTACAAAATACCTGCCTTGCTCATTAACAACAATAAAGCTTTTGTTCTAACAGATTCTAACTCGTGCTCTTCAGAATAAAACCACTGGATGATGACGGGGAGAGACGATGAAAACTGATTTATGTAAGAAAATCACAGGGGGATGACTACAGTAGTAAAAGCCGCACAGGCATCTCAGTGAGAAAGATTTTTTTTTTTTTTAAGTGCTACACGGACATCAATTTGCCTACTCTCACAGCCTCAGTTACTATCCCCATTCTAAGGTAAAGACACTGCAATGTAGGACTTCTAAACTCCCTGCTTGAATCATGAGGCACTTTACTAAGGCTCATACTCTTATCCACTACACTATGGGCCCTCAGAATGTCCCACAACACTGGAGGGGAACATGCTTGGCTTTTAAGATAATGATGGTATCATGGACTGGTTGCTTGATTTGTATTGTGATTTGAGTGTGAAATTTACCCTACGGGCTCATGTATCTTAGCATGTGTCCCTACCACCAGCTAATAGTGATGTTTAGGGAGTTGGGGGCTTAGCTAGCCAATGCAGGACCATAGATTTGGGGATGTAGGTTATAGCCTGGCCTTTGCTCTGCTTCCTGACCCCTGAAGTATATAACCACCACATGAGCCCAATGGCCCCAGGCCTTCCACACAGGACTCATGATACACTGCATCTCTATCTACGCTGAGTCTAGACAAACCCTTCCTTCTTCAAGTTGCTTCTGTTGAGTATTTTGTTACAATAAGAAGATTATATGGTTTTTGTTCATTCTGTCTCTTTTTCTCCAGAAGAAAACACTGGATGTGTGCACTTTAAACTTTTAAAAGATCATGTACTAATTAAAAGGGCAAATGGCAGAAAATTTTAAAGCAACTGTGCTCACATATTCAGGTAAATACTCACGTTCTGAGACCAGCATTTTCCAACACCAATTCTTCCAGTCGATTGGACCTGCTCACCACCCTCAAGATCTGTTCACAGACATCTGTGGACTGTAACAGAAAATATTTGTTGACCATTCTGCAGGTCTGATGAAAAAGATTTTACTTGAGTGCTATAAATCTACACAACATAGAAATATAAGAAAACAAAATACTCACTCATACACATTCATTCAAGAACTAGTCAGAGAGCATCCCCACTGTGCACCACCATGAAAACCTGGCAACACCACGGCACAAAATACAGTCTCCAAGTGTACTACTCCTCAGGGAAGAGACAAAAATGCTGTGGCATGAGGTGGTGCCATACCTCATACCATCACTTATTGAAACATACCCAACAATGTGATGGCAGCAGCAGGTGGGTTTGGAAGGTGAGTATGTCATGGGAGTGCACACCCTCAAGAATGGAGTTGGTGCCCTGATAAGAGCCCAAGAGACCTGCTTTGCTCATTCCACCACATAAAGGCACATCTAATAGAGCCATTTACAAACCAGAAAGTGGATGCCATTGCACAGTGAACGTGCCAATGACTAAATGGTGAACTTCCCAGCATCCATAACTGTGGGAAATAAGCTTCTGTTGTATAAGTTGCATAATATCTATAGTATTGTTATAAGCAGTCTGAATGGTGTAAGATAAAATACACAACTATGATGCAGTAACAAAGGCCCTTTTGGCAGTGCTACAAGTCCTCATAAGACCATCTTATCCTTTCTTTGGAAAAGTAAAATGACTTCCCAAGGCAGTGATGGATGTTCCAGGTGGTAATCTGAAGATGAAGTGATAATGATAATGACATTGAGGGTCTTGTTAAAGTTTTCACTGAGGACCAGGCACTGAGCTGTGTCCTATATGCATATGCTATTACCAAACCAGTAGCTATATATTACTCTCTATTACAAATAAAAACAGTAAGGGATAGAATGTTTTGTGCTTCAACAGGGACCAGCCCCATCATGGTAAGGTTGGTCATTAGGATTCACTAAAGTAGGAGAAAGGGGAAATGTCAAAGAACTAACTAAATGTCTCCATGTTAATAGTATTTTTTAACTATTTTTAATTATATGTGTGAATATATGTGTATATATGAGAGTATGTGTGTGAGTATCTGTGTCTGGGTATGTACATATGAATGCAGGTGCTCACAGAGGCCAGAGATAAAGGATGCTCCTAGAGCTGGAGGTACAGGTGGTTACTCGCTACCTGATATAGGTGTTAGGAGTAGAACTCAAGTCCTCTAGAAGAACAGGATGCACTCCTAACTGCTGCGCCAGCTCTTCAGGTCACTAATAGTTTTGTTTTTAAATCATGTAGTTATATAATTATTACACAGAGGAACTGCATACAGAAGAACTATGCTGCATGTCATGGTGGCAGAGTTGGATGTGAGGTTTTTTCTGTTTGGATTTCTAAGTGTTTATGTTTTTATTTATGCTGACTTACTCCAAAACTTACTGTAGCTCAGGTGTTGATAAATGATTTTATACAATTGTATTATAAACAAGGGCTGACTTAAATTTCTTATATCTAAGAAAGTATTTAAGCCCTTCCATTCTGTTTTCCCAAGACGAAATTTCATATACTGCTTATATTCTGAACACTAAATTGGTTACAAGATGATGATGTCAGGAAGGAACAACGATGACATGCCAATACCAATTGGTTGGACTCCTTTCTGTACTGGGGAGTTGGGAAAAACTCCAAGAATTGCCTATCTAAAGCCTTTTGTGAATCTTCTCAAGGACCCAGTTTTTTCTTATGCTTGTATGAATGTTTAAATGAGTTGATAAAATGTGTCTTGGCAAGAATCTGTTCTGGTCCAAGGATTCCTCATTCGTCTAAGGTCTCTGCTTTCCCACCTACAACCTCTGCTAGCTCAGTCCTTGAGATGGTCCCACCCCAACAGACCTGAGGCTCCCATTCCCATCATGGATACCTGCTCATTCATAGAGGGCTGCCCCACTCTCTTCCTGCTGTTCCAGCCCCATCACGATAATGTAAACACACGGCTACCTAGCTGGGTTCATTCCCTACCTACCTCCTCCCACATCAGTTTGTTTCTCAACCTCTTCACTAGTCCCTGATGATGATTATCATAAGAGTCAACAGTTGTGAAATTCCTGGATAGTCAGGCACTGGCAAAAACAGCAACAAACTGCTCACTGTAATCTCTGTGATGGGCTACTCATCTCAGCAAGGGCATATCTGTTTCCTGGTTGGGTTCTCTCATTCATTTATTCAGTGATTTTTATTCTTTATTTATGAAGCAAGCTTTTACTATGCAGCTACTTTACAAAAAAAGCTATAATACCTACACAGGACAGAAATGAACATGATTGCAGCTATTGCACAATCATAGGTAAACAAGAAACTAGGGTCTAGGAGGGTTAGATAACTCATCTCCACTCCCACAGTCTGGTTGGAAGAGACATGGTAATCTTGAAAAGAAAGAAAGAAGAAAGAAAGAAAGAAACAAACAAACAAACAAACTAGGGTTTCTGACTCCGTGCTCTTTTCCTACACCACCATGGCTCCTGAAAGTTCCCAAATGAGTTCAGCCCATTTTTGAACCCACAATGCCTTAAGTCATACCTATCCTAGTCAATTCAGACACACAAGTAACCTGTTCACGAGCTCCATTCCTGCAAAGTCCTTTCTCAATCTAGTGTCAATAAAGAAAATCTTACCCCCAGATTCCATGCCTCTATAAACAAAATCTAAATTAGATACTCATCCTAAATGAAGTATCTGAAAACTAAGTTGTGGATAAGTTTTCTTTCCATTATAGCAGCTTTGAATTTGTCTAGTTTCCAACAGTTTCTACTACCAAAACAGATTAAATATTTGGCTGTTCTATTTAATATGAAAATCAACAGATTTCACTTTGATTTCATTGTGTCTATGTACAAATCTCCTTCTACCAAAAAAAAAAAAATCTACAGAATTAACATTAACTATCATGATCGAATCAGACTAAGTCTACCTGTTGCTATTTCCTGCAATTGTTCTTGTGGGAAACTTGGTGGTGATGAACTGGAGGGCTGGAATATAAAGCCAGCTGTTTGCAGCTGTGCAAATGTGACTTTAATAGCTTTTGCCAACTGAATAAGTGTGTACAGAAGGCAATGCTAAATGCTCCTTTCTGTTCTAAAATTGCCTGAGGCAACTGAAAACAGGAGGATGAATCTCTCTGAAACTCTCACATTACAAACTTCACACAATGTTATGCTAATCATTCCTAGGATTGAGATCTCCTCAAGAAATAAAGTGTGTGCAGCTCACCAGCATGGTATCAAATAAATTTTTTCTGACAATTACCAGGCTTTTGAAGTCCAGCAAAGCTGGGCAATGCTGGCTGCATCTTCAGTGACTTACCAGCTTCAGATCCTTGGAGGACAGTTTGGTGAACCACTGATTATACTCCAGGGCAGCAATGATGGGGATCAGGTCTCTAGAAGCAAAATTAATGAAGAATATGAGCATGGTCCTGCAAAATATCTCCAGTGACACTGCATTTTTAGGTAGGTTGGGTGACGTATGCCTGTCATCTTATCACTTTTGGAAGATGGCAGCAGGAATATCAGGAGTTCAAGGTCAGCCGTGGTATATGGATAATTCAAGCCAGTCTAGGATATATGAGACGGTCTCAAAAAGCAAAACAAAGAAAATGAAGATACTATATTTTCATCTAATGTATGTGTGTGTGTGCATGGGCACACATGTCATAATTACATGTGTAGGTCAGAGTTTAGGTCAGAGGATAATTCTCAAGAGTAGGCTCTTGAGTTTCACTTTGCTGAGATGAGTCTTGTCTCTCTGTTGTCTTCTTCAGACCAGTTGGACTGAGAGTTTGCAGGCAATTCTTTTGTCTCTGGGAATCTGTCTCCCATCTCACTGTGAAGTGCTAAGATTACAAATGAATGCCACCACATCTGCTTTTCCCATGGGTTCCAAAGACTGAACTGTGAATGCCAGGTTTCTGCAGCAAGCACTTTTATCTATTGAGCTATAGCTGTTGATCCTCCAAACTATTTTAATAGTAAACAATTCAATTCTCTGCAACAGATCTCCATACAGCAGAATACAAGGAGAATTCCACAAAATTAAATTATTCCCAGCACCTCCAATTCCTGATTTCCAAGAGAAAGAAGCTGATTCTAGCATTCAGAAAGAAATCACATCTAACACTACACTAATGGGCCTGTTTCCTTAGACTTTTTCATAGATTCACAAGCATCAAGGATTTCACACAGTCTCTGAGAGGTTGTTCCCTAAGCAAAGAAAACACTGTATACTCTCCGATAGTAATAATCATCAGATTCTCTCAGTGCTCAGTAAGTGTCCTGCAACCATTTGGTAGTTCTTACACTTCCCAGCAGTGACCCCGTCCTTGAGACAGAGCAGATATAATTATCTCTGAAGCTTCCTATGACCTTGTAAGCTATGGGGTAAAAGTTTGCATGTGAAATCCCTGCCTCTACACCATTTTCCCAACCTTGCCCCTACCACATATTCCTCAAATATCACGCCATGGTACTGTACAGGCAGCATTGCCCTTCACTGCTGAGCGGTGTTCTGAAAGTTCACATGCCCATTGATGCCTTCACTGCACATGTCCTCTTCTGTAGCCTCCTTGTGGACCCCCAAACCCCAGAATGCTGCATGCCTCTCCACTTAGCCCTCAGCTCTCTTGCATTCATTGCTTCAACATCTGACTTCTACAACATCAGACTGTAAATCTTTGAAACCTAAACTCCAGTTTTAGTTTTGTGTATAAGACACAGATGCTGCAATTTCGCCTGGAACAGCAAAGACAGGCAGAAGGTGGAAAGAGCTGAGAATGCAGCTCATCCAAGTGCTTCATGGAGAGAGCCTCAGGTATCCAGCAAACAAGCCAGGAGGTGTTGGCTGTTTCCCAGGCAAAGGGATTGATTTGCAGAGATAGGAAGTGAGGCTGGACCAGAGACTCTTTCCTTTATTAGAATGGTTTTTCTCTTTTGGAGGAGACATATTGATCACACAAAAGAGCAGAGTGCACTGTGACATATTTGTGGATGCTTATATTTTGATCATATCCGCCAAGCCTCTCCATTACTTTCTACCTCCACCCCACTCTCATGTCCAGCTTCCTGTTCCCTGGTAGAGCCACTTCTGCTTTCCTGTTTTCTTCCCCCAACTCCAACCTCTAAGCTTAAGTTCCACACATTAGGGGGTGGGAAGAATACATGATGCTTGTCTTCCTGAATCTGACGTATTTCAGTTAACACAGTGAGCTATGCACTTCCATCCATTTGCCTGTATATGATATGATTTCATTCTTCTTTGTGGCTGAATGAAATTACAGTGTGGAAATAATCCATGTTTTCTGACCTAGTCTTCTAAAAACAGACACCTAGGCTGATTTCCTAATGTGACTACAATAGATATGGACAGACATAATATAGATAGATAGATAGATAGATAGATAGATAGATAGATAGATAGCAGATGAATAGATAGGTAGATAGATGATCAATAGATGACAGAGATAGATAGGAAATGATAATACATGATAGACAGATTAGATAGATAGACAATAGAAAAATAGATAGATAGATAGATAGATATAGATAGATAGACAGACAGACAAATAAGTAAAGCAGACGTCATTGCTATATTCTAGCTCTAGTTCCTAAGAGTTTATGCCCACAAAACTAAAGCCTTTGCCAGATTTTGAAGCACCAGTGTGAGCTCTTCAGATATGAGTGAGGAGATGAGATGCATCACCATAGGCAACCCAGAAAACCAATGCAAAGAAATGAGCACCACCAGCTTCCATCTGCCAGGTTTTCTGTTTACTTTTCTCTTTATTAACTTGCTTAAAATTAAGGTGTTTTTTTTAAAATTAAGATTAAAATCCAGGTATGGCGACTCATACCTGTAATCCCAGCATTTGGGAAGTAGAAGTAGGCGGCAGTTCAAGGTCAACCTTGACTAGAAGGTAATTTGATGTCAAACAACAAATGAAACAAAAGCATTAAAAGGAGATCTTAAATGTATCTTAATTCAAACAGTAAACACTGCTGGAGTGCTTACTAAATACCAGGTAGTATTACTACATGCTGAGAATTAAGAGGTGAGTGATCTGTTCTCCTGCCCCTTCCTACAAGGAAATGAATAGGAAAAACAACTGGGAGCCATACCAAATACTAGAAATGATAAAAGTGCCCTTAGAACACAGGGACCAAGTAATTCCACCTGGAGCAGATGGGCACAGGTTCACAGGGCTCCAAAGATGGGAGGGGGCGAATGAGGCAGGAAGAAAAGAACAGAATACTTTAACTAATTAGGGACAGATGTGTGCAGGCATGGGCGACTGACTATGCCCAGTAATTCAATCCATTCATATATTCAGTAAGTGCCAGCCACCATGCATGAATCACAGGGTTTAATGTAACAATGAACATAGCACCCAGTCCCTGCTCTGTAACAGCGACAGCCTGGTACAGCCTAGCAGGCAACCAGGGAGAAGAAAGCAACTATAATGAAGGAAAGAAGCTACATGGAGCAAGGGGGAATGTGACTCGCACCCTGAATTCAATCCCCAGCAGCCACATAAAAGCCAGGCAAGGTGGCACATGTCTGTAACCCCAGTGCATGTCTGTAACCCAAGTGCTGGAAATGTGGGGATAAACAGTGTCCAAGGACTTGCTGTCCAGTTAGTTCAGTCAAAACAACAAACTCCAGGCTCAGTGAGACAAACCCTGTCTCAAAAAATACAGTGAAGCAGTTGAGGGTAACGACCAAACATCCACCACTGAACTGTACACATGTCCACATGCATCTTACACCACACCCACACACCCACATATCCCCCAACACACACAAACCACCACTGATCCATCCACACGTCCACATGTATACCACTGCTACACCCACGCACCCTCTTACATATAGATGCAAACACTCCAATTTTATAACTGGGCATAAGATCTAAAACACACATTTCACCAAAGTTTATACCTTCACATATATCAAAGAAGCACATAAGAAGGCACAAAAGACCAGCCATTATAGAGGAATGCAATTCAAAGCCAAAATCAAATACCCTTCTCCACAGGTGTGTACTGGATGGCAGACATTCAGACCACACCCAGACAGCACCAAATGTGGATTAAGACACAGCACAACTGCATCTGTCAAATGCAGCCCATGAAAAGACAAATGGCCTACTCAGTGCCGAAGACAGTTTGACTCTGTCTTGAGTTTGTTATCCCTGTGTTATGTGACCCTATTGATATCACTTCTGAGTATTTGCCCAACAGAAGTAAAAATTTACATTTGCACAAAAACTTCAATAGTGTTAGACATCACCACTGTATTTATAATCACCAAAAAGTAGAGAAACCACAGGTGTCCTTCAGTGATGGCATGCATCAGAGGCTAGGTTAGAAGAGACCATGTTCAGTGTCTACCTGGCTCTGACTCTTCCAAGTTCACCCATGGAGCTCGGGTTCTTTACAAGGAAGCCAGGACCACAGGGAAGGGCCACACCTAGGTCTCGAAGCAACCAGCTAGCTGACACCCACCCATAGAAAAGTGAATGAAAAAGGCATCACTGAGTTATAGGTGTGTTGCTGTGGGCCATTAAGTTTAGAGGCTTACCACATAGCAACACATAACCACAACACTTGCTGTCTATCTAAGGTTTGACAACTGCATAGAGAACCTGACTGGAGGAAAAGTAGCCACAAACAGCTTTTCAGTAAAGAGATTTTTCAAAAAGCTAATATCTGCAAGGCTTGGAAGATGTACTCAAGGAAGATGCAGTTGGGGAGGGGAAGGGGGGGGTCTGTGCAATACAAGAAGGAGTCAGAGGATGGAAGAAGCCTCAGGTACAACAGGTTCTGAGACTAGAACAAGAAGCAAGAGAAAATAGTTGATGTACAGCGTTACTTCAGTCATATTATGCATATTGGTGGCTAAACTTGGTTGTCAACTTAACACACCTGGGAAGAAAGGACCTGAATTGAAGTATTGCCTCCCTCAAATTGGTCTATGGCCATGTCTGTAGGTTATTTTCTTGGCTAGTAATTTGAGGTAGTAGTAACCAGCCCAATGTAGGCAATTCCAGCCCTAGACAGGAAGCTCTGGGCTACATAAGAAAAGGAGGTGAACGTGAGCCAGGGAGCCAGCCAGTAGTAAGCAGTGTTCCTTCAAGGTTTCTGCCTTGAGTTCCCGCTTTTGCCAAGTAGATCTTTTCCTCCTAAGTTACTCTTGGTCATGATATTTGATCACAGTAACAGAAAACCAAACTAGAACAGCGTATTTGCACCATAAAAATCAAAGAAGGATTGGGAAAATTCTTACAATTGGATAGGGTAGTGAGGAAGAGGGAACCATGACTAGGAATTGACACACACAAGTCCAGAGAGAGGCAGGAACCTCTTTGTTGATCTAAGTGGTAGACAT